ACCTCAAAAGTCATCCGCCCGGAACTGCTTCCAGTGTACAACAGTGAGCGCAAGCTCTGGAGGGCTGGTGTCTTACAGAGTTTGGCTCCAATTTGCCCCAATACACCTGCTGGAAGTTTAAGCTCTATACTCTGACCCTTAAACCCCCCTTTCCAGCAGAGTTTAGCTCCCAACCTTTATCATTTAATTTGCATTTTTGTTGTTTACATGGAGACGGCAAATGCATCATTTTCAAAACCTTGCCCTTTGAAACCCTTTTTCAAATGCTTGTGTTTTCAGGCCCCCAACAAAATATAAAATGAAAAAGAATGGCAGACATTTAGGCCAAAGTGAGCAAAAATAAAAATCTTTGTCATAATTTTATCTTTGTGATTAGAAAATAAGAACAAAGATATACATTACAAATATACATAATATACAACTAAAACAAACAGTGCTTTATTTTTCAGGTACAGCATTTAGCAGTAACATTCAAGAAATTGAATGAACAAATATTAAAATAAAACACTATATACACTACATATATCAATTATACTTTTTTTCTGCGTTTTGTTGTTTTATTAACATTAAAAGAATAGTTCACCAAAAATGAAAATTCTGTCATCTGTCATTTTAAACCTGAATTAATTTATTTCGTCTGTTGAACATAAAAGTTATTTTTGAAGAATGTGGGTAACCAAGCAGTTGCTGGTCCACAGTAACTTCCATGGTATTTTTTTTCCTACTGTAAAAGTCAGTGTGGACCAGCTACTGTTTGGTTACTCACATTCTTCAAAATATCATATTTTGTGTTCAGCACAAGAATGAAATTAATACAGGTTTAAGACAAAATGTGAGTTTGTAAATAATGACAGAAATTAAATTTTTTGGGTGAACTATCCCTTTAATGACAGTCGGCAGCAAGGTTATTTTCGTAAACGAAAACTGAAACTAAGACGAAAACGATTGGTTAAACATTTTCGTAAACGGAAATAAAATTTAAAAAATCATAATAAACGAAAAACTAAACTAAACTAGCAACAGCTATTGTAAAAACTAACTGAAATAAAATAATAATTGCCAAAAATAAATAATCGTTTTCGTAATTAATAAGCATTCATCCCATTGCGGAAAATCTGACGTGTGTCTATTTAGTTTAAACCAAGAGCAGGCTGTTTAATCGTCTAACACCTGTAGATGGCGCATGATGGCGCAGCTGAGGCTGACAGCTAGAAACATCAGTTAACTGATAGATAAAGTAGACGGACATGGATGATGGCTGCCGGTAGGAAACGACAGAGCTCTGTTTGGGACTATTTCGAATTCAATTCTGAAACGGGAAAAAGCAAATGCATTGTTATGCTCAATAATACACATTGTGGTGTTGAAATTAAGGGGAAAAATCCCACAAACCTTAAAGTACATCTTCAATCCAACCATCGCGAAGACTACAAGTCGTTCATGGCTAAAGATTCGGAAATGAAGACTACCATCAGTAAAGTCGACGAGAGTGCTAGCTCTCAAATTCAATTTGGCAAGCAGCAGACTCTGACGTCGTGCTTGGTAAGATTTGAACTTTGGCCAACAAATTCAAATGAATATAAGAAATGCGAAATCGCACTAGCAGATTTGTTTGTTGAGACTGGCATGTCCACAAGACTGTGTGATTCGGTAGCCTTCAAAAACTTTTAATGCTGCTCTTGACCGCAGATTTATTACTCCCAGCGCTGCACGAATCAATTCCTTGATTGCGCGTCTCTCTCAGCATTTTTCACACGCTGAGTTGCGGTTTGCATTTTTAGTGCAAAGTCACTATATGTGTAGATGGATGGAGCAAAAAAGGTTTGACAGCTTCATTTTTGGGTATCTCTGCGTGCTTTTACCATTGCCCGTCGAACCAATCACAACATGCTTTGCTAAATTTGCATCGCATTTGCCATCCACACAACGGAGAAACAATAGCCAATTGCATCGATAGCACCCTGAACGAATGGGATATTCCAAAGAATAAGGTACTGCTCATTGTAACGGATAATGGCTCAAACATGATTAAAGCTGTGGAGCTTCTAAAAAAAAAAGAAACGGGGACAGCACAGAAGTGGCACAGTATGGTACTTTGGATAACTTGGATGCTACGGAATCTGAATCAGACTCGGAGGATGAATGTGCTGCTGATGAGGATCAAGGTAAGTTTGTTGCTATTTTTATTAACTGCATTCCAATTTTTAATGTTTATCTTTATTGCTATAGGCTATAGTGACATTACAGCTGTAAGGGTTAAAAAGAACAGCATGTGCAAAGTACATGTACAGTATAGAGCTTAAATGTGTTTAAACTTTCTTTTATGACAGCCTTGTCTGACGTGTTTCAAGATGGGTACTTGAAGTTTCAGCGCATGCCATGCATGGCACATACCTTGCAGCTTGCAGTTAGGGATGCATTGAAATTTCCTAGTACAAGTTCCATTCTCAGCAAGGCAAAGGCAATCGTTCATGCTGTACGGAAGTCCTCGGTAGCAAATGAACGAATGATTCAAAGGTAAGGTTTATATTTTATATTTTACTTTCTTGAACACAAACTAGCATATGTGGATTTTCTCTCCATAGACTATATTTACCCTCTGAAATCACTGCAAAAACGGACAGGTGTTAAAGATGATGAAATTCCAGGTGTTATTACAGTTATTAGTAATTACAGTTGTAACAAACCTCACAAACCATGATTGTGAAATCTTACACAGTCACACAACACTCAACATAAATTTACATAATTTAAATCATTTTAAAGTTTAAAAAGTAAAGATATACATTATTTTATTGATAAAATAACTGATATGCATCAGATATAAAAAGACATTTACAAAACTAATTTGTAGAGGGGAAATATGATATTCTTATATTCGTTTTTTTTTTTTTAAAGGTGTGGACGAACACTCCTCTGTGATTGCCCCACACAGTGGAATAGTTTGTTTGACATGATCAAAAGACTGATTGAAACCAGACCTATCCTCAATGAAATCCTACAGGAGCTTGGGATTGACACTCTTCTGACCAGTGAATGGACAAAGCTAGAAAATCTCCTGAAAGTACTGGAACCATTTGCTACGCACACTGATCAGCTTCAGACAGATAGCCAGTCCCTATCAGAAGTAGTGCCATCCCTGCTGAATCTGGAAGCACATCTGCAGGCTACCAATATGGAAAAACAGACTGTTCAAGTCCTTCTTAGGTCGATGCGGCAACGCTTTGCAGACATACTTGATCCTACACATGAAAAGTTTGATCCAACAGCAGCTGCAGCATCTCTTATGGACCCATCTGTCTCCCTAGCTCTTACATCTCCAGAGGTGCAGCATCTAAAGAGAGCAGCAGAGATGTTTGTCTTGGATCAAGCCTTAAGATACAGCCAAACTTCAGCCACAATGGAATCTGATGCATGTGAAATACCATCAACTTCTGGAGGTACCATCACAGCCCTTCAGAAATACACATTTCTCGCTACAAAGATCTTCAGTACTAACCAGGTGAATCCAGTTAATAACTCTGGCAATGCAATGGACGAAATGCAAAAATACCTAGACGAAGTGAAGCACGACAACATTGGAGTCAGGCCACTACAGTACTGGCAAGGACGGGTAACTGTGTATCCAAAACTTGCACCTGTTGCAGTGGTTTTGGTCTGTGCCCCTGCATCTCAAGCCTTTGTAGAAAGAATAGTTTCTGTTTGTGGACAGCTTTCATCTGTACTGAGAAGCAGAATGACCACCTCCCTGGAGCAAAGAGTCTTCTTAAAAGTTAACAGAAAATTCTGTAACTAAAATAAAATCAGAAAACACCAACCACAATCTGATGCAAAATGCACATTTGGTGATTCTGAAGATTGTATTCTGGTTTGTTTGTTTGAGTAAAGTTGAACACCACACACACACTTATTTGAAGATTGTGTTCTAGTCTGTTCTTGCTAAAGTAATATTGAACACACTATAGACATGCATATACACTTTTCATTACTTAATCCCACTTTACAGCAGGTTGTGTTTGCTGTAGATGACTTGAAATGTTTATTGATGTACCAGTGGTCACACTGCTACTGCTACACTGTACATCTGAAAATGTAAACTAGACATGTTTAACAAGATTTCATCTTTATTATGTATTTGTTCATCTATTGTATTTTTTCATGCTTTTCTTTTATACTTTTAAGTAGTTTGGTTCTTTTTTTTTTGGTATCTCAAACCCTTGTTATTTTTACTATTCTGAGTTAAGCACAAGAGTTAAATGTAAACTGTGCAAATGTTGCTGAAATGAAATATCTTTCTTTGGTCGACACTCTGGAATTGTTCTGTTAACAATGCTAAACTATAATTACTAAAACTGATTTCAGTTTTCAGTAACACAACCATTAATGAAACTATCTAAAACTAAACTAAAATTTATAGCAAATTTGAAAACGATATTAAAATAAAAACTAATTTAAAAATGCAAAACTATAATATCCTTGTATAATCAATCTCACACACAAACAAGCACAAGAAATCACTTCACACTATTAAGCAGCTGTGTTATGAACATGCAAAACTGTATCGCACGCGTGCTACAGTGGTAAATTTATTCATCGCACAGACCAGTTTTTTCGTAGCACGTGCGACATCTATGTCGCACTGTACAGCCCTGCCCAAAATCAGGTTGTCATGTAAATGAACAGCCAAAATTCAGAGACAGGGGTAGCTGCAGCCTGGAGCACTGGGCATGCAAAAGGTGAATCGGTACAACAGAAACTACCCCTAACCCTACCCTCACACCCTGACAGACAGCTTTGTTGACTACCTTTCTGCACTCCCAAACCTTTCTCCATGCCCATTGCTCCAGCCTGCAGTTAATCCCTACTTGGAGAATTCATGAAAAGTTTTGTTTTTAATTGACAACGGTGTCATATAAAGATATTCTAAATGTATTGATTGCCGTTGTCTTGTGCCATTAAACTGCTATTCACTTTTATTTGCTTGTTTTTTTTTACCTTAGACCTACTGGCTTTGAAAGAGGAAAAAGAAGTACTTAATGAAATTGGAGAGGAAGATCAACATGAGGATCTTCAAAAGACAGGAACTAGAAGTTATTTCGCTTGTTTCAGTCAACAAGGAAACCTTAAAGTCCACATGAGAATTCACACTGGAAAAAAGCCTTTCACATGCACTCAGTGTGGAAAAGGTTTCACTCTTAAAATAGGTCTTAAAAGGCACATGAGAATTCACAATGGGGAAAAGCCTTACACATGCCCTCAATGTGGAAAAGGTTTCTGTCAAAATGGAAACCTTAAAGTCCACATGAGAATTCACACTGGGAAGATCTATTTCACCTGCCAACAGTGTGGGAAAAGTTTCACTCGTAAAGCAAATCATGACAGACACATGAGAATTCACACAGGAGAAAAGCTTTACACATGCCAATACTGTGGAGAGAGTTTTGCTCAACGTGAAAACCTTACGGTTCACATGAGAGTTCACACCAGAGAGAATTCTTACTTGTGCCTTCAGTGTGGAAAAAGATTCCATCAACATAGAAACCTTAAAGTCCATATGAGAACTCACACTGGAAAAAAGCCTTTCACCTGTGAACAGTGTGGAAAAAGTTTCACTCGTAAATTAGGTCTTAAAAGGCACATGAGAATACACAATGGGGAAAGTCCCTTCACCTGCCAATTTTGTGGAAGAAGTTTCACTCAAAAAGGAACCCTTAACAGGCACATGGGAATTCACACCGGGGAGAAGCCTTTTTCTTGCCAACTGTGTAGAAAAACCTTCACTCGTAAAATAGGTCTTGAAAGGCACATGAGAATTCACACTGGAGAAAAGCCTTATAAATGCGCTCAATGTGGAAAAAGTTTCATTCAACATGGAAACCTGACAGTCCACATGAGAATACACAATGGAGAGAGTCCCTTCACCTGCCAACAATGTGGAAAAAGTTTCAATCATAAAGGAAGCTTTAACCGGCACATGAGAACTCACACTGGAGAGAGGCCTTACATATGCCTTGATTGTGGAAAGACTTTCGATCAACATGGAAACCTTAATGTCCATATGAAAATTCACACTAGGGCCTGGCAATAAAACGATAATGATCACAATATGATTTTTCTTTCTTGAACAGCAGTGTTTACTTGCTGATCGGTCTTGCTCGCACAACCATATCCATAAAAAGTGCTTGAATATAGTGAAGAACATTACATTTCTTGTTGATTTACTTTAAAAACTGTGCTGACACTTTTAACATTAGAAATACTGTGCCATGAACAATACAGTTAGAAGGCTTTTCCATGGATTTACCATAGTAACACTAACTGCACCATGGTATTGTGGCAGAAATGTGAAAAATATATGGAATTTTACTATTAATATAGACATGTATTGATGTATTAAAGGGGACCTATTATGCCCGTTTTTACAAGGGGCCAGATTTACTATCAGCTTGTGCCAGTGCAAACCCTCATTTGGCATTTAAAAAACTACTGTCAGGATTTAGTAAAGACACACAGTGGGAAATTAGTGCTGAAAAGGCGTGGACACAGTTATTTTTGTGACTCACCTTAGAGAATATGCATTTGTAGGAGTTTCCCTTTCGATCTGTAAATGTATGGGATGAGATCATTTAAATGAATTAAGCAACACAATTTACTAAGATTTGCGCTTGTCAATTCCCTGTTAGTTGCAGCATTATTTAATGCCCCAAAAAAAGCATGTCTTAAAGTCCGCGTGAACCGGAAGTTGCTGCCGTCTTTATTTCAGTGAAGTGACGTATTTCCAGCTGAAACGGAATATTGAGGAGAGGGCAGGTTTTATTTTTGCGCTCCTCCTCTCGTCTCTTACTCGTAGCAAACTAATGGTTGGAGGGGTGTGTTTAAGGATATTCGGCCCAAGCCGTCAAACTGACGTCATCAGAGAAGGATTGCAATTCCAGAGCGGAAGTAAATGTTCAGAATTTGAATAAAGATTACCAAGACAAACAATTTTTTTCAGCGGATTAACTAGGCCTGGGCGATAAAACGGTATCGATATTTATCGACGGTACACCCTCTTCGATAACGATATAATTTTTTTCCGATATAGCGCACGATATAGGCACATGCTATGAGTGACGCAGACCGCACACACAAACACGAACACATGCTGAATTGAGTGCTGTGCCTGCCTGTGATGAGGAGATTGTGAATTTAAAAAAAAAAAGAATATTAGTCGAATTTAAAATAAACAGTTTCATTTGAATGCAAAAATAGTACAATCAAATGTTAGGTGTGCGTCAGGGAGCCCCATTAGTGGAGCGCGAGATGCGGTGATGTTGTAAGTGAAGTTGTTGCATTTTAATGTTTGATAAGTCTAGCCCACAAGACTCGCAATTGCTGCGTTATTCATTCAAAATAGTAGCTCAATGCGTAGAAGATTGATTAGGTTAAAACCGAAACCAAACCATTCACACAGAACGCATATTCAGCGCATTTTTTAGACGGACAAATATGCCTGCTGCTCTCACGTCTCACACGAGATGTATAGAAAGCCATGCAAAGTTAAAACAGTTTAAACTTTTAGAAAACGCATTACGAATTTGTGGAGGTTTATTCCGTTTCACTACATCTCATATGTTTTTAAAGGCAATCTGTGTGATGGGCGATTCAGCTCTTTGTATTAAGCAATGCATAAATACATGATGCTGTTTTGTTCATAATTGTTTATGCAATTTACGAGATTATGTTTGATTTATAGGAGTTAATTTAGACGTAATGCACGAACGATATGAAACATTATATCGTTGATACATTTTTTAGCTATATCGCCCAGCCCTAGGATTAACTTGCACGGATTAATTGTTCACGTCAAGACTAGCAATGTGCGCTAGTAAAGTAAATAGTCAATTTTGATTTCATGCGGACTTTAAAGCAGGCAGTAATTTGTGCTGCTTTTGGTAGATTGCGCTGGTCATTATGGAAATTAGATATTGCATCTGTGTTCTTTAATGTGCACCTTGTCAGTAAATCACCCGCAGAAATTTCCCCTCCCATCTGCGCTTTTATGGAATTGCGCTCTAATGCTAATTTGCCCTGTTTAGTAAATCTGGCCCAAGATTTAATAGGAGTCTCACGTGTACCCAGAACTCAAAATACCCCATGGATTATTTAAACCATACAGTAAATGCCTCTTTTTTTTTTTTTTTTTTTTTTTTTTTTGGTGGGAAAAAAAATGTGCTGTTTTAGTTGTGTGTACCTTTAAAATTAAAAATTGAATATTCGATAATCATGCGTAAAGCTCTGATTTATTTTTAACCAGCGCTTAACCATCATTGTAAAACACTTTATATCATGTTCTGCTTTAATTTCAATTGGTAACATGTTCCAGAGTTGGAAACCCTTCACAGAAAAAGCTTTTTGTCCTACGATACAATCCTACAATAACCACCTACTGCATTACTTGTGCTTCTACTATTACTACCCTGTTTCTTAAGGCCCTGATATACTCAAAAGTTCCACCACCAGTATACTGTTAGCAAACATCCTGACACCGCCCACTCTGATGAAAGCAATATTTAAATGAATATGTAAATATGTGCTGCACGCTTTCCTCTCAGTAACAAAATAAACACAACAAAAATGGAGAAAACGGCAAGCATTTCTATATAAAAAAGCAGCTGATCATATCAACATGGGCATGTTTGCACGAGCTCTGCAAAGTAGCACTCCTGTGAAGTCGCATTTTATTCTATATATTGCTTAAAAGCAATCAGCAGTATTAAACATGAAAACAGTGTCTCATTTCATCAGAAGCACAACTTTATTTTCTATTATAAAGCAGCTCTCCATTGTGTTCATTTTTTTTTTTACCCATGGACATCTCACCTTCTAAGAACTAACCCTAACCCAGACTCGAATCACTCCAAAAACTTCACCAGTAGATTCAGCGGGAGATTCAAACAGTGGAAACGCAAACCGTGCCGAGCCGTGCCGTACTGAGCCGTACCGAGCCGAGTCGTACCACGCAGTGGAAAAGCGCCAATAGTTCGGCTTCAGCATCGAACTACCATGTGGAACGCTACTGTGTCTCATGACACCGGACATTTTTCTTTCCGCTCTAACAATGACGTCACATCCCGATAAGGAATATTTAAAGGGGAAGACATATTTTATTAGCAGAGTTTATCACATGAAATTCGCTACAGCATAACGCACATAAACAAATTCAGTCAAGAATTTAACGTTTAGCCAAATTTATAATTTTCTTCTTTATATTTAATCAACCTTTTTAATCAAATAATACACAATACGGACTAATACTTATTTAAACAAGTATTAACATTTGTTATAAATTGATATACTCATTTATTTGTTTCCCTGCCATTGGCTTCAAGCGGCAGCCTCTTCCGACTTCCGGTTTTTAGCGACAGCTGACGTCTGGTTTTAGTGGCAGGTACTGTTGGGTGCCACTGGCAGCCACCTCCTGCTGACCGCTGGCATTTTTTCGCTGAAACCCCCCTCTCTGTCATTGTATATGATTAAAGGTCAAAAAAGGAAACAGGAAGCGTCTAATATCTTCTACATTTATTGTTCTATTTAAATTAAATTAAGATTGTAATGGAACCTGAATAAATTTAAAATGAGTGTACTATATTTCAGATCAACACATTTGTTTTCTGTAAAACTTAGTATTTTGATACCTAACAATATTTTCTGAATTATATTTCTACATAAAGTAATACTATCATTATAAAAAAAACACATATGAGATTCTTTAGCAAATTAAAATAAGCAGATTAGTGCTATCTGTTTTAGGTTAAAAAATGTATAATCACAAGCCTGCTGTTACGGAGAGATGCGAGACAGAGGCATGCAGATCCATTTGCAGGCTTTATTTAACAAGAGCGTGGTCGAAACGGGCAGGGATCGATAATAGCGAACAGACTAGGCAAGACAGAAGAGTAATCCAGTGAGCGGACGTGGTCGATCTCTGGCGAACAATGTCCAAACAGGGTAATCCAAAGGGTTAAGTCTGTGTAATACTTTCCGCATGAGCAATCCGGACGCGTACACGGACAGCGTGGACGCGGACTACTTGTATTTATACTTCCGAAAGTATACGCTGATGGTCTGCTCCGCGGGCGTGTTCCGTACATGCGTAGTAGATCAGCTTGTACAATAAACAAACAAGTGAACAAAGAATTGTCCAGAGTTATTGCACATCTGGCTGTCTTTATATTGTTTTATCGACGGATTGTACAGGTTCGAGTAGCAACGGGCTTCTTCACACAGCCTGCGCAGTAGCCTACTGGTCACAAAAAATGGGAGGCACGCGGATGTCCGCGCACACTCTCCGATGATGATTTTTACGTCATGCATACAATAGCGGACCCTAGCGGACTCACAGATGCGGCAAGTATAACACAGGCTTAAATCCAAGACAGGCGAAATCCAAAAACACGACTAGGCTAGACAGGGCAATGACTTGACTGAACTAGGAAACTGGCTCCGTAATAATGCTATCAGCAGAACAGTGATACTGTCACAGATCGGCCAGACTCAGTCACCTCCCAATCACCGCAACCACCTTCACCTAGTACTGAGGTACTGAGCACCTGCACCTGTCACCAATCAAGCACCTCATCAACCAGCCTGCATAAAAGCACACACCTCAGACACCCTCATGGTCCGGTCTCGTACACACGTAGAGGACTCTCTGACTTTACTACTGCTTCCATTGGAATACTTCCTGCATTACTTACCTCCTGTGTTCCTCCTAGTTCCTGGATCGCTGAGGTGTGTGGTCTCCGGTAAAGACAAAGACTCTGATTATTCCACTCGTCATATCCTTTGAACTGTTCTACGAACTATACACTCACCCTATCATCATCTGGATCCTTCACCCGTACTCTGTGACCAAATAAACTTGTTTGTATATAGTAACCTGTTGCGTCAGACCTCTTCCGTTACAGATACATGCATACAATACTCGGCAGTGAATGGTTGTTTGAGACTGATTCTTATAGTGGGTGTAATTGGCTGCAGGTGTAAACGTAATCGGTGAAATGGAGTATGGGAAATGTAGTCCGTGGTGACATGTGGAAGTCTGTGTAGTGTGAGAGTCAATATAATCAGAAGGCAACCTCTGGTGGCGAGCAGACGGAAGAATCCGGACCGGATTCGTGACACCTGCTCTGCTCTGATTAGTCAGATGGCCCAGGTTGTTGCACTTGGTTGCTTACAGCGGTACAACAAAATGGCAATTACCAAATCTGAATCTCAGCTTTTGAGGCTTACACAATCCTCAGCGGTTGTACACACTGTAAAGACAGTAACAACCTCATTGATTTTACCATATCAATTTGAGCATGAGATGATGAAACATTAGAAGAACTAGTTACTCAACCCGAAACTCTGTCAAAAGGAAGAATTGTGCAGGACATTTCTCAGTGATAAATTTTTAACCAATTTGTCATACATTACGAGATGTTGCAACTGTAATTCCTCTTCATCAGCATTAAGAAGTGTATGTCCAACAACAAAGCGATGTGTATATTTATTGAGGTCTTTTTACTGTCACGTGACCATGTATTTTGGAACCACCTATCATTTCTGCCAGAATGTGAAAAGGAGAAACGCATGGGAGGAGTGGAAGGCACCCATTTACTTTAAAAACTGTTTTTGGCTTGTCAAAATGTAATTTTAGCATAACAAATGTAATCGCTGTTACTTCAAAGCAAATTTATCCAGG